TCCAGTATAGACTTCATTCCTGAATTCCACATGATCCAACTTGACATCTTCATTTGAATGTTTATATTTCAACATTAACATTCACAAAACTAAGTCCCTGGCAGTTTTCCCTCCACCTCTAACTTAATTCTCTTACAGAGAATTTGAATTCTTTATCTCAATTAATGGTAACTCGATCCATTCAGTTGCTCTCTTTTATGACTCTCTTTTATCTAGCCACCATGTCTGAGCCATCAGGAAATCCATCTTTAAAACATATTAAGATATAACTAATCAGGAATCACCTTAGTTACAACTGCAGTTCACACCAAACCACTTTTTATCTGCATATGATGTAAAACAGCCCCAAATTGGTCTTTCTGCTTCTGCCTTGCACTTCAATATGTTAACACAGTAACATGAGAGTCCTGTTAAAATATATACAGTCATGATCACATCTCTTCATTCAAACTTCACCAATAACTGTCCTTATAGACAGAGAGAAAACACAAACATAACAATGACCTATGAAAGAAAGGCCATGTTTCCCAAACTTCTTTGACTTCACTTTCAATGGAAGTTGATGAATTAACATATTCATGGAGAGAATATGTTAGACATACTCCCGTATTCCCCTATACATGGAATGCTCTTTACCTAGATAACTTTATTCTGGATTCTTCTCTTTAGTTCTTAATTCAAATATTACCTTCTCAGAGGTAAGATTTTTTACTGTCTTATTTTTCCTCTTTTGCATTTAATGCTCTATAATATTTCATTATGTTACCAACAAGCATATTTATTCAGTCTTATACTATAAACTGAATAGACTAGTGTCTTTATTTACATATATATGTATGTGTGCATATATATATATATATATATATATGGAGAGAGAGAAAAAGGAGGTGAGAGAGAGATAGTGCCTGCCATATAGTGAATATTGTTGAATGAAAATTTTAGTAAATGGACAAAGATCTTTGGTAGCATCTTTAGTCACTTGCTTCAATATACAAGAAAAAATTGTATATGTGTCGAGATTTTCTGTACAAATATGACTTATAAAATAGATCGTAAATATATTAAATGCAGATTTTTCTTGTACTGTGAAATGTCTCCAAGACATGTTAAACAGTTTTCAAAGTACAAATTTTATCTTAGCTGCTAAACAAATCAACACTTATTCTTAACTAGTGATATAATCAGGAGCTTTTCATAAAGCAAAATTAACTAAGGATCCTCATTCTTTCAAGTGAAATACTGTCTTGGGAGATTTGCTGAATTGCTTTCTTAAACATTACCGTGTGCAAGGTGGAGGATTAAACTACAGCCCTTGCAGAATGACAAAGGTATTATAATATTCTTCTAACTGGTCTCCAGGTCACTATCTCTTCCTTGTTGTATATATATTTTACTTGCTTCTAGGTCAGTATTACTAATACAGACCTCTGGTGATGGCATTATACTTCTCAGAAATCTTTATGGCTCCCTTTTTACTATTAAAATAGAATTCAAGATCATAAAACATGTGGAAGAGGCCTCTAAAGTCTAGATGCAACCTGTTTGCCCTTTATTATATTCTAATACTTTTCTACATTGCTCTCCAAGTTATGCTTATTGCCTTCTTAGATTTTTCTGTGTTCTTATCTTTCTTCATAATCCGGAATCTGGAAGATCTAGAGTACACATCCAGGGCAGAGCAATTGGATGCAGGCTCTAAATTTCTACTAAAGGAACTTAAGATTATTTATCCACATTGCTCTTTGGGATTACATGAAGTTTATATTCTACTATATTCTACAGGTCTTATTCTTGTAACCTTTTGTTAACCTGCGTTTCATACATTCTCAGTATGGTTTGTGAACTAAACACAGTCCTTGGCATTTGCCTTCTTGGAATCACCACTTTTATAGAGATTAAATGTCCTTTTATTATATAACCTCTTCTCCACTCCTGAAACTCCCAAAGCAAACAGAGGGAGAGAAAAGGAGAGAAAGAAGCGAGATGTGCTGTTCCTCACATTTGGAATTATATTTAGCCTCCTCCTTGTATACTACGTCCTTTGTAGCTACCAAAGAGGCAAAAAAAAATCTAAAATAAAATCTGATAATCACATACCTCCCCCAAAATTTCTTCAATGGCTAGCTATTGCCTTCTATCTCTCTATTTTGTGCATGTATCTCTCTGGGCTGAAAGTGTTGTCTCTCAGCTGTTTCTCTTTCCTGGACAATTGTAATTGTTTCTTAAAGACCACTCTTCCATCTTCTTCACTAAAGAAACCATCCTTGGCACTCCACAGTAGAATCTACAAGTTTCTGACTTCTCCTTTCTAATGTGACCACGTTTTCCTCCATCACCACAACTGTCACACTGGTTTAAATCACTCATTCTCTTTCTGTCTTTCCTTTCTGCAACCATAAGTATTAGGGGTATACTATTTGTGTCCATTTATCTTGCAGAACAAATAAAATAACACCCATCCCTATTAGCTGTTATTCAAGAAAAGCCTAAGGGGCAAGATAGAAAAGAAGATGGCAGAATTCATTTAAAGCAAAAAGCGGATTGAAACTTTTGATCTCTGAACTCAGGAATGAGCATTCTTCCTTAGCTATGCATTGTCATTGCTTTACAAATAATACATAATGGAGTGACTATCACAAAAGGCCATCAATGAGCTTATTTTAATTTGTCATCACTGAAAGACTGGAAATAAGAAAGGCACAAATACTCTGCCATAAATGGAGAGCTGGATTTTTCAGGTCTGATCACAGTAAAATATGAACTCGATTTTCTGGGTAAGGAAAGTTGGAGACATTCAGATCCAGACTGATTTATCTTCTTTGACCTATGCCAGCCTCAAAGACCCTGAGCTTTGTCCTTCTGCCATGGTTGCTTTAGGTGTTAGCACTGATAATGGGGAAAAGACTTTACTCATAAGGAGGCTATATCTGTGAAAGACTCATCGATTTCTAGCACCTTTTTCTGAAATGGTATATTTTTGGTCAGAGAAAATGTCTCAAGGGTCCATTTAGTTGAAAAAAAAGCTATATCATTAAGCTCCACATACTCTAAAAATAATGCTAAGATTCCTCTTTGTCTAACTTTCCTTTTACCTTTCTGATCACCAGAATGACCAAATAAAATTAACCTACTAATGGCTTTATTCCTTATCTTGTGTCAGGAAATGTGTTTGTACTTATGTTTTTTTAAGGAATCTGAAAGGAAAGTTTTTATGAGACACACTTAGACACACATGTTTTATAGTACCCAGGTAATTATCAATTGATTAATCTATAAATGATTTGACTCCCTGCTTCTCTGAAGAAGCAAAAAACTGTTTTGAAGTCAAAGCTAGCTGAGACTTCATTACTTGTTGCAAAATAAAATTTATTTTAAGTGGTAGAGTCCCACTGGGGAGCCCTAATGTGAGTAATTGCCATTACATGCAATCTACCAAAATAAATGCTGCCATTACATTTAGTGACAGTAGCATCTTCAAATGTGATTTACATTTCTCTCTAATGAAAATTAGTCTGTGTTGCATACTTTCTGATTTTTCTATGTTCCTTCTATGGTAACACAATTTGATACTTCTATTTATTCTTGTAATTACTGAGTAATATTTATGACAGGCAATTGGATAATGTGTTTTTCTGAGCACCTAGATTTATATATTCTGATGCCCCAAAATATCTACTGTCCTGCATTACGTATTTTGATTTAATTCCTTTAAACTTGAAATGGGTCTTGAGCCACTCCTATGGGTCTATATAATGCAGCATTTTTTATTTGGATAGAAAATTCTAATAAAAGTAACCTGGAGATGGTCTTGAATGGAAAATAATTTGAGTATTAAATAATAGTACCATATTTAGAATATGTGTTCGATATTGGGAAATGTAGCAGATGATTATACTTACTCATTTTGCTGAGGGCAAACATGAAGATTAGAATCAAGTAAATGGTACAAAGTCAATACTAGAAGGTCAATATTCAAATGAAGGTGAACAGAGATACCACATGGGTATGTGTGTATGTGTTATCCCTGATTGTCCCATAGTCCCAAGCTCAAAAAAAGACAGAGTCCAAGCATTTTCCCGTCCAGTCTATACCAGAATATATACTGAAAAGGCCTTGGTTCACAGGATGAGAAACCAGTATATCATTTAGTTAGTAATTTTCCTTTCTGTGACTTCTGGCAGAAGCACTCTCTATAGCCAGGGCCAATTGTTTTCCTCTAATGACAAGGGAGGGTAGCCTGAGGCTATCCTAAGAACGCCAAGTTTATTTATCATCTTTTCTTTGTTCTGTGGATGGCATCCAACTTGCAGCTTTGACTGGGCTCATGGGGAGAGATATGCTAATTGTTTCTACTCTACAAGGAAAACAAGATCTGGCTATTCTCCAATGTCATGAGTGCAAATTTTTAAGCAATTATAAAAATATACCTATACTTATGAAAACTTATGCCCACATCAAAATATATTTACTGAGCAGATTTTGCTATGGGCATATATAGTAAGTAATAGAAATAAGATATGTTAAAGATTCTCAGAACCTTCAAAACCTTGGAAAACTATAGAAATATATAACACTTTACAAGAGCAAACAATAAACACATCTCTTGACAAGGAATTAAAAGATCTGTTGTAAATCCAGTTGTGAAGCATCTGGCTAGGCTGTTCAAACTTGAAGTTTGAAGGTGAGATCTCATTCACTCGATGAAATAGGATCATTATCCTAGTTTGTCAACTCTTGAAGAAAATATGAGCATTGGCTTTTTCAAATTTACAGAAAAAATAATTTCTTTGCATTAAAACAGAAAGAAATGCTCGCTTTGGCAGCACATATACTAAAATTGAAATGCTACAGAGATTAGCATGGCCCCTGCGCAAGGCTGACACGCAAATTCGTGACGCGTTCTTTATTAAAAAAAGAAAAACAGAAAGCAAACATGAGCACTACTTCCTGCTTTTGTCCTTACTTCTCTTCCTTGTTTTGCCTTTGCTCCTCTTTGCCAGGTTTCTAGCCAACACCACTTTCCGAGGACTCAGTGGCTCCGTCAGAGTGAAAGGCTCCACCATCATCAGCTCAGAAAACAACTTTTTCATCTGGAATCTTCAGCATGATCCTATGGGAAAACCAATGTGGACCCGCTTGGGTAGCTGGCAGGGAGGGAAAATTGTCATGGATTATGGAATATGGCCAGAGCAGGCTCAGAGGCACAAGACCCACTTCCAACACCCAAATAAGTTACACCTAAGAGTGGTGACCCTGATTGAGCACCCATTTGTCTTCACAAGGGAGGTAGATGATGAAGGCTTATGCCCAGCTGGCCAGCTTTGTCTAGACCCAATGACTAATGACTCTTCCATATTGGACAGCCTATTCAGTAGTCTCCATAGCGGTAATGACACTGTGCCAATCCAATTCAAGAAGTGCTGCTATGGGTATTGTATTGATCTTCTGGAACAGCTAGCAGAAGACATGAATTTTGACTTTGACCTGTACATTGTTGGAGACGGAAAGTACGGAGCCTGGAAAAATGGACACTGGACAGGGCTGGTAGGTGATCTCCTAAGTGGGACTGCCCACATGGCAGTCACATCTTTTAGCATCAATACTGCAAGGAGCCAGGTGATAGATTTCACCAGTCCTTTCTTTTCCACCAGCTTGGGCATCTTAGTGAGGACCCGAGACACAGCAGCTCCTATTGGAGCCTTCATGTGGCCACTCCACTGGACAATGTGGTTGGGGATTTTTGTGGCGCTGCACATCACTGCCATCTTTCTCACTCTGTATGAATGGAAGAGCCCCTTTGGTATGACGCCCAAAGGGCGAAATAGAAGTAAAGTCTTCTCCTTCTCTTCAGCCTTGAACGTGTGTTATGCTCTTCTGTTTGGTAGAACAGTAGCCATCAAACCCCCAAAATGTTGGACTGGAAGATTTCTAATGAACCTTTGGGCCATTTTCTGTATGTTTTGCCTTTCTACATACACAGCAAACTTGGCTGCTGTCATGGTAGGTGAGAAGATCTATGAAGAGCTTTCTGGAATACATGATCCTAAGGTAATGTTTTATTTTACTCTGGATTTTTTTATTGCTTATTTTAATGTCATGTGTTGTGTCTTATGCTGTAGTATGTCTGCCTTCTTTATATAATGCAGACATATTCTCTCAGCTAACTGTAGAGACTACTCCAAAAGTGTGTGGCCTGGTTAAAGTCATTGTTATATTGTATTAAATGGAGAAAAACAGGGAGAGGTTTTAGGTAGTATTTGTTTTAGAGTTGATAGTCTGTGTAACTACATCAATTAATGCAGCTTCTCATATCATTTAGCCATCTGAAAGATTAGCTATCAGGGAATAGTCTTCCAAAATCTTTTTATCCATAGAGGATTTCAAAAACAAACCAACTGCTTCTTGGAAATCAGTAATTGGTGGAAATAGGATCCATGTTTCAAATAGTAAGGCGTATTTTCCCCATTAAATACAGTGAAATGCGAAGAGGTAGCATTTTCTCCTAAGCACAATAAAATTACTACTAGTAATCTCAATCAGTTCTAAGCTAACTTAGAACTGATGGGTTGGGGGAGGGAGCTTCCAGCATTGCATTAAAATATCCATGAGATATTCAAGATATTGTTGACTGTAGGGTAGGGAAAAGGACTTAGGCAAACAGACAAAGCATAATGGCATACAAGTATATAGTCACATGTATGTTCTCTCTGAATTAAAGTAGAACCCCTTTTAGTGAATGGGAAGAGAATCTAGCCCAGTCAGTGGGAGTAGAGAAACAGTGTTGTCAAGGCCCAAAGCTATTGGATGGGGCTCGAGTGTGTACTGCAGCCCTGATAGGACCCAGGATGCAGATCCTGAGAAGGAATACATTACACTGTGCAACACACCTCGTAGAGGGCGAGAAAGCTCCAATAGTATAGATCCCTCCAGAACACCTTATGTTCAAAGCAATTTGAGCTAAGTGGGCTCTGTCTGATGGTGAAACAGTGATCATCCCTTTCCAGGTGCATCTACTACCCCAATCTCAAAGTACTAACCATTTGCTATACATTTCTGCTGAACATTTAAAATTAAGTTGATTAATCATCAACAAATGGGACATCTGCAGCTCCTTAGAAATGAATTGGCTTAATACACAGGACTGGTGATAGTTTCAGAGACTTCTCATATAGTTTTTATTAGGAAAGTGAGAAATTTCACTCACATATTATTCAAATCTCCTGATAAGTGACACCAAACATAGGAAAGGATTCTATTAGCAATGTCTGTCTAACTAGGTAAGGAATTGTGTTGCTTCCTAATGAATACTCGGAGGTTATGTTAGAGCTGGAATTCAATGAATGCAAATAAGTTCTTTAGCATAAATAACTGCATTACCCCAAAGAGAGATTTGGGTGATATACCAGCATTCATACTCAGCAGCAATATTAGCAGCCGCTGTTTATTCTTTTCCCCAGTAGACCTGTAGATCTTTTGAAGAATCTCAGTCTTGCTAGAGATGTATGCAGATTTTTGCAAGAATCTTGCCAGTGTGACTTCTAAAATTACAGACTCAAAATGGAAACCATTCAGTCCAATCTAGCACAAAGCAACCTAAAATATGCCTGCTGTGCAGATTCCAGACTATTATCTTATGTGAAAAGCTGAATACAATGCTGACTAGAGTTGCATTCATCAAAAGCAGGATTGCAAAAATTAAGTCATGGATGCTATGCATGAGAAACCTGAAGCAGTGACTCTTCCTGGAGATTAAAAACAATATCAGATAAACTGGACACAGCCACAAAACGATTTTAAGCAAAATGATATAGCTCTTCCATCCCTGACTCCACTACAATAAAGAAGTAAAATTTGTAGCAAGCTAACCCAACCAACAAAACAACAAAAAGCCTGACAAACAGGCAAGAGTAAACTTGGTGTTACAGCAGATTACTCCTTAATGAAGCGAAGCAAGTCTAAATCTAAACTAGTTTCTATTTGCAATAAGAGTGAATTTGAAACAAAAGCTCACCAGTGTGTATCAATCTAAACTACTGCTGCTGTTTCTCTGTTAGGTAATCTCTCATTTATTACCAAACAGAGAAACAGCAGTAGTTTAGATTTTACACATATACACACATTTATATAATATAAATGGTTTAGATTTTACACACATACACACACATTTATATAATATAATATATATTCACAGATTAATTGACTATATGTATTTGGTGTCCTGTTGGAGAAATTCCAGTCTGAAAAGAACAAATTTAGTTCAGATAACAAATGATCTTTGATGTCCAGCCAATATTGAATGTTGGTAACAGTTTTTCTGTCTTCCTTCAAACACATGATATAATATGCACTACATAATATCCTCACTCTCCCACAAAGACATAAGATAAAAGTAATTTCCATACCCTCTCAGTCACTCAGCCTTCACTGTTTGGTATATCATAGATTCCACATAAGTGTTTTTCTCTCTTTACCAATGCTAATTGCTTTTAAAATAGCATTATTTTTCTTCCCACATCAATTGATGTGAAAAAACACAGAGGTAAATGAATCAAATAATTTGGTGACAGTCAAGTAGCAGAGGAAAGACATGTACATGAGGAGAAACAACATAGATCGATATGAAGTTGTCCAAGTTTAGTATTACTCAAATTCAAGGAAGGAAGATGACTGGCAACGCATCAGATGAGGGAAAAGTTTCATTAGTGAGATAAAATCCATGCTTATATTTAAATAATACTTAGAGTCTGGGTATGTGCATCAGGGAAGGAGAAATCGACATGATTCATAGGAGCACAGTGGGCTGTGGAGGTGGGAAGGATAACAAGTATCCTGGAAATCGTAAGGAATTCTGTTTTGCCACAAAACATCACAGGAAGGGAAAGGGGGGAAATCAAGGTCTGGGGGGAAAAAGCAAGTTTAACTGAGATAACAAATGATATTTGATATCAGACAGAGAAATGGGAGCTTCTGGTAATAGAGCTCCATAGTCACTTTGAACAATAGAGTAACATGGTAGAATGGTCTTCATTGAGGATGATTGCTTTCGCAAGCAGCAAGGTAACATGATCAGAAGAGAACAAAAGCAGGCTAGAAGTTCAAGCTGTAGTCAGTCACTGATAAATGGACGATAGAAGCACTGTGGTGGTGATGAAATCTGGAGGACCTGACCAAGAATTGGGCAGGAGAGGCAACAGTCACACTCAAAGACAGTCCTCCTGTCATGGTGGGAGGGAAGTGTGAATGGAGAGGGCGAAGGGGGAAGAGGGTCGTCAAAAACACTTCAAGGATAAAGTTGTCTGGGAAGGGAGAAGAAAGGGATGAGACAGTGATGAAGGGGTAAGTCCAGTCAACACACATTGTATGCTTATATGGGCATGTCATAATAGATACAAGCTAATGACAGTGAGAGAAAAACCCACAGCCACTGCTCTGGGTGTCTGAGAAAATGATGGCACCATTGGGGGCAGAGGGGCAGAAAAGGCAGTTTACAGGCCACAAACAAAACAAAATGGTGACCAGGTCAGGTCAGTTCCATTCATGGCATTGAAAGATCCCTTGTGGAACACTGAGCAAAAGCTATCAATCTCTAACAAACATGGAGCAGGGAGAGTTCAGGAATGAGAACGAAGCTTGTTGGACTAGAAAGGTCATACTGTGTATTAAAGGCCCCACGGAGTATAAGGTTCCCAAGGATAATGGGAAGAAAAATTGCTGTTTGAAGGAAAACACCATGAGTTAGAAGTCCAAATGTGTTGCGGGATAAGGTTTGTGAAGAGAGGAGATGGGAGATAAAGAAGAAAAGGTGCTCAGTAGCAAGTTGGGCAGACCCTGGAATACCATTCTCTTGGTTTAGTTTTGACATTTTAAGAAAATGGAATAAAAAAGAGAAAAGAAAACGGTATTGTCCTACTCTTCTTTTTCTTGGCTATGTACATTTTATTTTTTAATTTAATTTTATTGTCAAGGTGATGTACAGAGGGGTTATAGTTACATACGAAAGGTACTGAGTACATTTCTTGTCGAACATTGTTACCCCCTCCCTCATTTTTCTCCCAGTTTCCCTCACCCTCTAGTGCCTTCCCCCAAGTTGTAAAGTTCATTTCCAACATATGCTTAGCATCTTAACGGTGGTTAGCAGACAGCACAGGAAAGAGCTGTGGGGGGGATAGGTATCTTAATTCATATATGATGAAACTAGATATGATTTGATATTTTTCACTATTTTTAAAGAACACATTTTCATTTTTCAAATTAACTGTGCAACATTTGGTGCTGCTGAAAGGGAATTTATCATTTTCACAGAAGTCATCGGTCTCTTGTGGTTCTTTGGGGACATGTGTTTGTTTGTTTGTTTGTTTGTTTTGCTGTAAGCTGAACATAACCCAGATCTGATTTAGAGGTGACATGTTACATGGAATATTGGTGACACTCTGAAGATTCTTTCACCTCTGTCCCATTTCTGTTCATTTTTTTCATCCCTGGATAAGAGATATCTCTCCAAAACCACCTAAGGCTTGAAAATAAAAGAGTGCTTAAAAGAGACACCAAAGAATTCCATGTACTCTTTCTTTAAACAGATTGTTTGTTGCATAAAATTTATTCACGTGAAGGAAGCTTAGTAACAGTCTGTGTTTATATCCATTTGTGAACTGAGTCCTCACCACTGAAGTGTCTGCAACCTTAGTAACAGATAATTTACAGTAAGTATAATATAGCTCCATTTTTCATCTGGATCGTGACTGTTTACCATGCAAGCTATACACTTAACATCATTAATAAAATTTTTCAGAAGTAAGAGTTTGACTCTTTTATCAACCATTTTCAGGGTTAAGATTCATTGGTTTCAACTGAACACTTTGAGTCAGAAATAAAATTAAAAGCAAAAGTCTGGATGTTGTAGTAATCCAGGAACATTGGATTTTTTTATGCCCCCTGATAGAGGGTAAGATAAAAGAAATCATCTTATTATTGGGCCTCCTGGGAAAATAAAATTCAAGAAGATAGTTCTGTCATTAGCCATTTTTTCCAGACTAATATAGTCTACACTG